TTTATAGGACATACTATGCATTTTTTATTTTAAATAACCTCACTTCACTCTTTTAAAAATTAAAAGGCAAAAGAGGCATCTGTGGGCTGTCTCAGGATATTCAATCAGAGAAAAAAAGAACTGCATCCCTCTGGAACCTGTATCCAATGAGGAGATGAGCTATAATGGAATTGTTGTATATAATTAACAGAAACATTCTGAAATTCACTATGTCTTGTCACAGTGTTTATTCTGTTAATATGCATGTATTGGTATAAAAATAGAAGGATAAATTAATAATGCTGAGGCTGCTATAGTTTGATATGTAGAAATGGGGCCACAGAAATAGTAATGATCCTTGTTGGTATGCAGAAAACTTAGTCACACTGGACTACCATAGCAGAACACCAGAGATTAGATGACTTGAGCAACAGAAATTTATTTCTCAATGTTATAGAGACGAGGATGTCTGAGATCAAGGGGCAGGCAGGTAGGATTCATTCAGAGACTTGACATGGTTTCTAAGAGACTGCCATCCTGCTGTATCCTCACATGACTTTTTTTTTTTTTTTTGACAGGCAGAGTTAGACAGTGTGCAAGAGAGAGACAGAGAGAAAGGTCTTCCTTTTTCCATTGGTTCACTCCCCAAATGGCCACCATGGCCGACGCTCTGTGCCGATCCGAAGCCAGGAGCCAGGTGTTTCCTCCTGGTCTCCCATGGGGTGCAGGGCCCAAGGACTTGGGCCATCCTCCACTGCCTTCCTGGGCCACAGCAGAGAGCTGGACTGGGAGAGGAGCAACTGGGACAGAACCTGGCGCCCCAACTGGGACTAGAACCCGGGGTGCTGGCGCTGCAGGTGGATGATTAGCAAAGTGAGCCTCGGCACTGGCCATCACATGACTTCTTCTTTGTATATGAATGTGTATGAAGAGAGAGTGTGTGCTGGTGTTTCTCTTAATGAGGACACTAATTCTATCATGAGGGTCTCACCCTCATGACCTCATCTAACTCCAAGTATTTCCCTAATGCCCCATTTCTTAGCATCATCACATTGGGAGTTAAGTTTCCAAGATATTAATTTGTTGCAATACAAACTGAGTCCATAACATTATCTGAGAGTTCACATGTTATACCCATGTGATATGTCTGCATATCACACACACACACACACACACACACACACACATAATGTATACAAACGAAGGAAACAGCATAGAGCAGTCTATTTGTTATTTCTACGATTTCCCATTTAAGGTACTATATAAGTTCTTTTAAAAATTGGGCACATTTAATAGTGTACACAAATATGTTGATTAACCAAACAGTGATTTCTTTTCTCAGATAACAAGAAGCCCATAGGTAGATGGTTGCTGTTGGTCCAACAGCTTGAAGTGGTTAAAGTGGTTAGGGCTGAGGTCTTTAGGATTTTCTTGCCTATTGTGTTTACAAGATGACATCTCTAGCTATATTTCCAGTTCTTGTATCCATATTCCAGGCAGAAATAATGAGACAAGTAGAAAGAGCAAAAGGGTCAGGGCCAGGTGATTCTTTTAAGGACCTTCTCAGAAGTCCTATTCAATAACTCAGAAGTCCTATTCATTTATATACTTGAAAATCAGAGTTACAGAGAGAGGGTTCTTCCATCCACTGCTTCACTCACCAAGTGACTGCAGTAGCCAGGGTGGAGCCAGGCCAAAGGCAGGAGCTTCTTCCAGGTCTCTCACATGGGTGGCAGAGGCTCAAGCCCTTGAGCTATCTTCTGCTGCTTTTCCCAGACTACTATCAGGGAGCTGGATCAGAAGTAGAGAGCTGGGACTCCAACCAGTGCCCATATGGGATTCTGGCATTGTAGGTGGCATCTTTACTTGCTTAGTCACAATGCTAGCCCCAGACGCCTGCTTTTGTTAACCAGAACTGTGTCATCATGTGGCTATTGCTATGTATAAGAAAAGATAAGAAATAGCAGTTTTATCTGAAAGTATTAGTGTACCTTTGAAATGTAGATTCTGTTAATAAAAAAGTAGAGAAAAATGGATATTTATTTGGATGCTAGCAGTATACACCACAACTACATCCCAAGAGCTGAAAAAAAGGATTGTGAATTGACTGATGCACCCTTAATGGGTAGATGGTCTACCCATTCAGCAAAACAGAAGCTTAGGAAAGGGATGTCTAAACAGTGCATCTCAGAAGGTAACCTTGTCAGAGGAGATGGTATATGTTAGACACTGGCGTCTACTCAGGGCACAGTCACTAGTAAATTCAGTAGCAACCTGAGGAAATTTTTAGGTAACTGGCAGATGTGCTGCTTCAAGACTGAATTTTTTCTGTTCTAGTGATTCCTGTTTCCGGCTTGCTGTGTTTGGAACACAGTCTTTTATTTTCATCCAGAGACATTTTGTTCTTGTCATTTCACCATTACTCATCTTGAGTTGGCTCCTTTCTGGGGTTTCATAAGGTTATCCCAAGAGATGTATGGACATGACAAACACTGAAGTAGGGAAGATCCAGAGTGGAGTTTTAAGAGATATGCACTATTTGTAGTTCTCTTGGGGTCATGCTGTGCAAATCAAGGCTTTTAATTTGTGTGTTAGTGAGTGGCTGCTCACTTTCTGATATAAGATGGAAAGAAAATCATCTGCTCCTTGAAAAAGCTAGGCTTATAGATCACTGTGGTTGCAATGCACAAGAAGAGTTATATAGAAGGTGGAATAGAAGCCAGGTTCAGATGGGCATTATGGTATTCCAGGTAAAGGGTTATGAGAGAAAATAACCTTCATGCGTAACTGGGAAATAAGATATGAAATAAGAGATTCATTCATAACTAGGAAAGAAGGCCCAGGGCTTGGCAATTAATTGGATTTGTGAAAAGATGAGGGAGAAAAAAAGACAGCGGGAGGAATCAAAATTGATTCAAGCTGCAAGACTTTGATTCTGAGAATGCAGCTTCCACTCAGGAAGAAAGAAAATCAGAGTAGTATCCTTTCAGGGGAAATAGTACGGATGATTAGTTCTGTTTGTGTTCCTCCCTGTACTTTGTTCAGGAGGTGGAGGAAGGAAATATAGTAAGGCTGGATGAATGGTTGGAATGAGAGAATAACTGCTATGACTATGAAAGTGCTTAATTGCAAATCTCTTTTATTACTTTTATTTTTAAAAGATTTATTTATTTGAAAAACAGAGTTACAGAGAGGCAGAGGCAGAGAGAGAGAGAGAGAGAGAGGGCTTCTATCCACTAGTTCACTCTCCAAATGGCACAATGCTTAGAGCTGGACCAATCCGAAGCCAGGAACCAAGAGATTCTTTTGGGTCTCTCATGTAGGTGCAGGAGCCCAGGGACTTGGGCTACCTTCTACTGCTTTCCCAGGCCATAACAGAGAGCTGGATCAGAGTGGAGCAGCCAGAACTCAAGCTGGTACCTATATAGGATGCTGGCACTGCAAATGGTGGCTTTACCTGCTATGCCACAGTGCTGGCCCTTCTTTTTTTTTAAAATTTTATTTAAGGTATACAAATTTCATGTATTTCATATACACAGGTTCAGGAGCATAGTGCTGCTTCCCACCCTACCCTCCCTCTGGCCCATGCTTTAACCCTTCTTCATCCTCCCTCTCCTGTTCTTACTCTTAGGTTTTATAAGATGTATTTTCACAATTTTTACTCTATACTCATAAGATTAACTATACACTAAAAGTTCAATGAATAATATGGAGAAGAAAACACTGTTCCTCAACAGTCTAGACAAGAACTGTGAACAATCATTGAACCTCAAACTGTCAATTTTTGGGCCAGTACTGTGGCACAGTGGATTAAAACCCCATCCTGCGACACTGGCATCCCATATGGGCACATGTTCAATCCGAGCTGTTCCACTTCCAATCTAGCTTATGCTAATGTGTCTGGGAAAGCAGTAAGGTATGTCCAAGGTCCTTGGGCCCCTGCACCCATGTGGGAGACTCAGAAGAAGCTTCAGGCTCCTGGCTTTGGATCGGCTCAGCTCTGGCCATTGTGCCATTTGGGGAGTGAACCAGTGGATGGAGGATCTGCCTCTTTCTTTGTCTCTACCTCTCTCTGTAACTCTATCTTTCAAACTGAATGGAATAAATCTTGAAAAAATTGTCAATTTCACTCCTATACATTACTTTTTTAGATACTCTATTAGTCACCACAGATCAGGGAAAACATATGGTATTTGTCATTTTGGGACTGGCAAATCTCTTTCTTTTTTTTTAAACTTTTATTAATAAATATAAATTTCCAAAGTACCACTTTTGGATTATAGTGGCTTTTCCCCCCATAACCACCCTCCCACCCTCAAGCATCCCATCTCCCACTCCCTCTCTCATCCCATTCTTCATCAAGATTCATTTTTAATTATCTTTATATACAGAAGATCAACTTAGTATATACTAAGTAAAGATTTCAATAGTTTGCACCCACACAAAATATAAAGTATTGTTTGAGTACTAGTTTTACCATTAATTCGCAAAGTAAACACATTAAGGACAGAGATCCTACATGGGGAGTAGGTGCACAGTGACTCCAGTTGTTGATTTAACAATTGACACTCTTATTTATGATGTTAGTAATCACCTGAGGCTCTTGTCAAAAATCTGCCAAGGCTATGGAAGCCTCTTGAGTTCACCAACTATGATTTTATTTAGACAAGGCCATAGTCAAAGTGGAAGTTTTATCCTCCCTTCAGAGAAAGGTACCTCCTTTTTGATGGCCCATTTTTTCTGCTGGGATCTCACTCACAGAGAACTTTCCTTTAGGTGTTTTTTTTTTTTTTTTTTTTTTTTTGCCACAGTGTCTTGACTTTCCATGCCTGAGAAATTCTCATGTATCCTGCTTCCCATATTGGATCGTTCTCTCTTTTTTAATTCTATCAGTTATTATTAGCAGACACTAGTCTTGTTTATGACCTTGTTAGACCTTGTTAATTTAGGTCACTATAGGCATATTGCTTGTGTGATAACACACATACATTGTTCAATTACTTAATATTTTTATGTTGTAGAGTGACTTCTGTTAACAATTATCTGTTCCTAAATGATATGGAGTACGTAAGGTGTATGAAGACACACTCATTACTTTTTGAAGCTGCCTTACTCCATGAGATTCCACAGGTAAGTTGGTCTAAAGAATTGTTTCATAGAATATTATTGGGGTAAGGAGAAAGAATTGGAGTTGATTTCTTTATTTCTTTACTCTTGTCTCATCTCTTGATATGTCTCTGTACAAGGGCTTGTGGGAGGCGAGCAGCTACATGCTTAGCTGCATCACAAGTATGCATTGAGATTATAATAAGCCTAGCATTAATATCAATTAATTTTCTTTATGTCATCCTTGCCAGCAGGAGTGCAAATCAAAGCAGGATTTTGTTTCTTTTTGAGGACCTTTAACCTTTCTTTTATAGCTCAGCTAGCACATGTATACATCTTAATTATATACTTTAGGCCGGCGCCGTGGCTCACTAGGCTAATCCTCTGCCTGCGGCGCCGGCTCACCGGGTTCTAGTCCCGGTTGGGGCACCGGGTTCTGTCCCGGTTGCCCCTCTTCCAGGCCAGCTCTCTGCTGTGGCCCAGGAAGGCAGTGGAGGATGGCCCAAGTGCTTGGGCCCTGCACCGCATGGGAGACCAGGATAAGTACCTGGCTCCTGCCATCGGATCAGCGCGCCGGCCGCGGTGGCCATTGGAGGGTGAACCAACGGCAAAGGAAGACCTTTCTCTCTGTCTCTCTCTCTCTCACTGTCCACTCTGGCTGTCAAAAAATTAAAAAAAAAATTATATACTTTAAAAATTTTACCTGGGTTTAATTTCATATTTCCATTCTTATTTATTTAAACTTATTTTTAGTAATTTTTTGTAGCTAATACATGTCACTGTATGCTTCCTTAAACAATTTTTGTAACAGAAAGTACCTGTATATGAATCAGTAAGCTTCAGTAGAAGTCCTGGAAGCTCTGTAAAGTTTTATTGTGGAAAGTGGATTCAATTTTGATGCTATAAATATTTTTCTGTTGTTGATAAAGAAAGTATTTCTTTCACATGTTTTCTTAGTTTTCATGTAAGTGGACACACTTATTAATAAACTGAACAAAAAACATGTACAGACTCAAACTTTCTTGAGCATTTCTCATGTGCCAGGAACTCTTTCAAGTGCTTTACTTGTTAATCCTCATGACTCTGAGTTAGGTACTGTAATTATCCCTGTTTTACAGATGAGCAAAAAGAGGAGGAGGGTAAGCCAAATCTAAGCTGCTTCCACCAATGTTCCGTTATTACCCTAACAGCAAAGCACACTTATCTGGTTTTTAGGAAACACAGAGAGTTAGTTCCATTGTGAAACACATATCAAAAACAAGGGGGGAAATGGTACTTCAAAAAGTTTTTGGAAAATGGAATTCAAAGATAGGTTTACTTTGGTGCAAAAAATTTTTAAAGCATACATAGGGCCTTTGGAAAATTCATGGAAAATGTTTATTATGAAAAGTATGCATTGATTTCAAAAATTTGCTGCAAAATAAACACATGTTTTAATTCCATTTTCCTTAAACTTTTTGAAGTATGCTCATAGTTTTTTCTAGGACAAAGTAGAGGAGAGGAGAAAAGAATTAAGGAAGTGGTAAAAGTGCAGGTGGATTAGATCCTCCTAAAGGTTTAAAGAGAATGTTCACAGTTTCCAGGAAGGCAGGAAGAATCACCACATGAGGCCCCCCAGCGACATGGAGGTAAAGCGATCACAGCAATGCTGTGTTTTTGCAAGAAAATGTGCATACTGCCCAAATCATAGCCTAACCAATGTTCATGCCCTTATAGAAACACAGACGAAAATGCACCAGAAATCTGAAGTACTATCCACAGAAGTGAAAAATCTAGGAATGAATGAAGTTCTGCTTTTCCCTGAGACAAAGCCTAAACACTCAGTGAGCCACGTGTACTCAATTCTTTACTACCAGGTTAGGGAAGACGAGCCGAGCAGATTTAATGAGTCTAACATTTTTTGCTCTTTCCAGTTATACACACTGACTTGTGTAGTAAGACACGACTTAAAACACCAAGTTACCATACACCAGATGACCTTTACTGTGTTAGTAGCTGTCTGTCCATTTCATACTCTGAATATTGGCTGATCATTGAGGAATTTTTTTGTGGGTACCTGCTTTTGATACTTTCAGGTAAACCCGGATGAGATGATTACTTTGAATTGACTGAGTTTTGCCCATATGAAGTTTTGCTTTTAGGTATGCATTTCCAGAGAGATTGGCGTGTAAGTCAGGGAATTGAGTGGGAGGAAGATCAACCTCAGTGTGGATAGTACACAAAATTGACTGGGAGTCTTAGTGAAATAAAAAATATGGACAAAAAGCATATTCTTTCTCATCTGAAACAGGATATCTTTCTGCTCCTTTCCTTGGACATTAAAACTCTAAATTCTTTGCCCTTTGGACTCTGAAACTTGCACAAGTGGTCTCCTAGGTCTCCCAAGGCTTTGGGCTTGATCGGAGTTATACCACCTGTTTCTTTGCTTCTGGATCTTCTGACTTGGACTGAGTTATTCTAATGAATTCTCTGGCTTACTGGTTTGCAGACAGTATATTATGGGATCTTTCAGCCTCTATGCTGTGTCAACCAATTCCCCTAATAAATCCTCTCTCATATATCTATATCTACATCTATATCATCTAATTACATGTATCTTTATTTGTTTCTATTGATTATCTCTAGAATGTATTGACTAATACAATATTAAACTAATAGGGCAAATCTCTAAATCAATTTTAGAGGAATTTGCTGTATTTTGCACTATTGGGTCTCATTAAAATTTATATGGGTCATCTATGGGTATTTTTGGACATATATCATACCTCTGGGACTACCACAGCATCCCCCATATAAGTTAGTAGGTTGTTGAGGAAATGATACACTAATAATGACAACAATAGCTATATTTCCAAAGCACTTGCTATGTGCCAGACACTCTAGTAGGGACTTTCTGTACATTATCTTATTTTATCTTCAGGTATGACAGGTGTTTTCCATATTTTGCATATGACTAAACTCAGAACTAAATAACATGTTCAAGGACACCCAATTCTTCAGGGCCTCAGCAGATATGGCTCTAAGGCTCATGCAATTTCCAATATGTTCACTGCTACTTGTAAGAACCTTGGAAATGGAGATGTGCAGACAGACAACCCTACAAGATCAGAAATTAATTTTGGTGTTCTAAGGAAGTGCCACTGAATGGTAATTAAAAGTTTAGAATGCTATTGAACAAGAGCCATTTTCTCAGAAACTCAGATTAAGCCTTCTACCAATTGCATAGGCTTTCTGAGAACTGGAAACTAGAGAATGGTAGGATGAAATTTATTTTATCAAATGCTTTCTCTGCATCTATTAAGATTATCATATTTTTATTATTGAATTTGATAATGTGATTTATCATGCTTATTGATTTGCATATGTTGAACAGTCATTCTGTTTCAGATAAATCCTACTTGGTGTGAATAATTTTTTGTGATTTTTATTTTTGTAAAGAGAATAAATTTCACTTATTTCATAGCTACAATTCTAAGAAAATAATCATGCTTCCCACCCTTCCTCTCTCTCCCTCAATCCCCCTTCCTTTCTACCTTTCTTTTTTTTTTAAAAAAATCTTTTTGATGTGTTATTAGATTTGATTAGCTAGTATTTTGTTGAGGATTTTTGCATGTATGTTCATCAGGGATATTGGTTTATAGTTCTTTTTGTTATATCTTTGACTCATTTTGGAGTCAAGGTGACGCCGGCCTCAAAGAAGGAATTTTGGAGGATTTCTCCCCCATTTCAATTGTTGTAAATAGTTTAAGAAGAATTGAGATTAGGTAGAACTCATCAGTGCAGCCATCTGGCCCTTGTCTTTTTAATGTTAGGATGATCTTTATTACTCATTCAATCATTATTTTGGTTATTGGTTTATTTAGGTTTTAAATGTCTTCATGACTCAATTTTGGTAGATTTTGCGTGTCCAGAAATCTATCCCTTTCTTCTAGATTTTCCAGTTTGTTGGCAAGTAGCTCTTTTTAATGATTCCTGGTGATTCTTTTTTATTTCTGTGGCATCAGTTGGAACATCTCTTTATTAACCTTTGATTTCAGTAATTTGGGTCTTTTCCAGTTTTTTCGTTAGCTGGGCCAATGGTTTACCAATTTTGCTTATTTTTCAAAAAACCACCTCTTTGTTTTACTGATATTTTATATAATTTTGTTATTTCAAATTTTGCTTATTTCATCTCTAATTTTTATTATTTCTTTCCTCCTACTAATTTTGGTTTTGGTGTGTTCTTATTTTTCTAGGTCCTTGAGAGGCATAGTTAGATCATTTATTTGATGCTTTTCCAATTTATTGATGTAGGCAGTAATTGCAATAAACTTTCTCCTTAATACTGTTTTTGTTGTATCCCGTAAGTTTTGGTGTGTTATCTTCATTTGTTTCAAGGAACTTTTTGGTTTCCCTTTTGATTTCTTCTATGATCCACTGTTCATTTAGGGGCATGTTGTCCAGTCTCTGTGTTCGTGTATTTTCTAGAGTTTCTTTTTTATTGAGATTTTATTTATTTATTTGAAGGTAGAGTTACAGAGAGTGAGAGGGATAGACTGATAGAAAGGTCTTCCATCTGCTGGTTCACTCCCCAAATGGCTGCAGTAGCTGGAGCTGAACTGATCCGAAGCCAGGAGCTAGGAACTTCTGGGTCTTTCACTCAGGTGCAGTGCCCAAGCACGTGGGCCATTTTCTACTGCTTTCCCAGGTCATAGCAGAGAGCTAGACTGGTAGAGGGAACAGCCAGGTCTCAAACCAGCACACAAATGGGATTCCAGTGCTGCAGGCAGAAGCTTAGCCCATTACATCACAATGCCAGCCCCTAGAGTTTCTTTTGATGTTAATTTCCAGCTTTCCTCCATTGTGTTCAAGAAAGATATATTGTGTAATTTGAATTCTTTGAATTTTTTAAGACTTGTTTTATGAACTAGCATGTGTTATATCCTAAAAATATTCTAGGCAGTGATGAAAAGAATGTGTAATATGAAGCTGTGGAATGAAATGTTCTGTAGATATCAATAGATCCATTTGGCTAATAATGTAGA